GTGGGGGCTCCGGCGGCAGGCGGGGCGGGGGCACACAGGCAGGGGGAGCTGGGGGTGCTGGCGGGGGCTGTGGGGGTGCTGGCGGGAGAATGGGGGCGCACAGCCAAGGGGACTGGGTGGATATAGGGGTGCACGCGCACAGGCAGGGGGAATCTGGGGGTGGTGGACGCCGCAGTGGGGGCTCCGGCGGCGGGCAGGGCCGGGGGAGGGCACTCACTTGCTGGCCCGCACCACGTCAGCGGCACTGTGGGCGATGGTGAGCTCGGCCAGCGGGAGGCGCCGCTCCTCCACCTCGGAGGCGATGAAGGTCTCCTTGTCCCCGCTCTCCACCTTGATGAGCCGGATCTTGAGTTCCTTGGGGGGCCCCTCAGTGAAGGAGCGCAGCTTTAGCAGGTCGGCCGGGCACACGCCGGCGGGGCCCGGGCCCTCCTCCTTGCGGGTGGGTGGGCGGCGCTCGGACTGGGAGGCGGCGGGCGGGGACGGCTTGCTGGCTCTGCCCGCCTCGCCCTGGGCACCGTTCTCCCGCGCCTGGCAGTCCGTGCGCTGCGGGTCCAGGTTGCCGAGCACCTGCCGGTTCTTCTCCTTGGGGGCTTTGCCCTCCCGCCGGTGCCGCCGCCCGTCCTTGCCCGCCCGCCGGTGCCGCCGGTGCTCCTTCTCCGGCCGGCGGGGCGGCGTGGCTGGAGGCGTGGGCGGCCGGGGGGCTGGGCTGGGCTCCCGCCCCGCCTGCTCCACCAGGGTCTCGCAGGCCCGGCTGATTTCTTCCAGCACCTCTGACTCCGTCTTGGGGGCCCGGGGCTCCGGCGAGGCCCCCGCCGGCTCCTCGCCCCGGGCGCCCCCAGCCCAGGCCTGGCTTGAGGTAGAATACGGCGAGGAAGACGCCGGCGGCAGTGGTGGCGGCGGGGCCGGGGGCTTCTTCGCCGCGGCAGGGGGCTTGGGCCGGTAGGCATGTTTCTGCCCCTCCAGCACGCTGGCCAATGACCGCAGGAGGCTGGCCGTGCTGGGTGGGCCCTTCCCTGCCTCCTCCCGCTTGCCGAAGGGATAGAGCCGGGGCGGCTCCGGCTTGGGGAACTCGAACGGGGGGGCCGGCGGTGGCTTTGGTCTGGCCAGGGGGGGCGGGCCGGGCAGGAGCGGGGCGGGAGGGGGCGGGAAGCCGGGAGGGGGCCCGGCCTCACGTTCCTCCTCCTCCCGCCGGATCGACTCGTCCAGCATCTTCATGATGTTGGCCAAGCCGTCGGGCAGGATCTTGGAGAACTCGGGGGGCTCCTCGAACTGGTCCTCCAGGGGGGGGCCGGGAAGTCGAAGAGGCGCCGGGCTGCCCCGGGGGGCGTTTCCGGGGGGGGCCCGGCTCTGGAGGCAGCGTCTTTGGGTAGGAGGCCCTGGGCGGTGGGGGCGGGGGGCTCGGCTGGGGCCTGAAGTGTCCTGAGGTATTTGGGGGGCCGGGGGAGGACTTGGGGACCCCCTCCCCACCCTCCAGCGGCCGAGCTTCGCGGGGGGCGTCTCCAGCCAGAAGTCGGGGGGCCGGGGGCTCCTGCTTGGCAAAGGCGCAGTGGTAGGTGGGCGGGGCGGGGAGGGGGTGGGGGGCGGTGGGGGGCTGGGTTCGCCCTCCCGCCGGGGCGCCCCGGCCCCCCTACTCCCCTGGCTGCTGGTGGTGGAATCTTGGAAGCCCCCCCGGGGCCCGGCCGAGTCGCAGGGACCCAGCTGGGGCTCCCCCCCGCACCCGAACAGGATCTCGTCCAGGGGGTCCCCCCCGGCCGCGCCCTCCCCCTGGTCCCGGACGCCTGGGCCCTTCAGCCAGGGCAGGGGGGGCGGGGCAGGGCCCGGATCGGGGGGCCCCCGGCTGGCGGAGGAAGGGGGCGGGGGGGCGCAGGGCCGGCGTGG